TTGTAATAAACATAATTAAATATAATTTCTTAATAAATTTTAATTTTTATTATATTAAATAAGTCAATTATTTACTTGGATATTGTTTTACTATGTCTATGAGAGCTACAGCTGCATGTTTGCTTTCATCTACTTTAGCAATTATATTTTCGGTAAAATTAAAATCTCCAAGACCATCAGAACCAAAAAAATCATTATATTTATATTCATTTATTAATGCCTTTTGTGCTCCTTTATATACCGGTATCTATAAAATATAATAATATATAATTATATAATAATAATATTTAAATAAGTTATTAATATACTTACATCACTTCTATTGGCAATGGTTAAAATTTTAAGTACATTAATAACTACATTTTCCACATATGTATTTCCATAAGAGCAAGTAATTGCTAAAACATTATTTGTAGACTTAAGAATTAAAAATATAGCTACTGCATCATCTGCTCCAGCATCTGTATCTATTATAATTTTTTCTAATGCATTGATAAACCTTATAAAAGATTTAATAATAATTGTCTTATTTAAAAAATATAAATGAATTTGTTTTACATTTTTTAAATTCTTTTTAATTTATATAAGTTGATTTACGCAATTAGAAAAATTATATCTCTTTCTCTAGTATAAAAAAATCTTTAAAAAATTACATTTTCAAAATATTTTTTTTATATATTTCAAATTAATAATTTTTCGAATATGTATGCATAATATTTTTTTATGTCGATTGATAAGATGATTGAATCTATTAAAAAATTCAAGTTTCTATTTAAAGAATTGCAAAAATATTATATAAGAAAAATATAATTATAAAGATATAATTATAATTCTTTTTTAAATATATTTTTTAAGCAGAAGATATGATTTTCGCAATTGCGTGAATTATTCTGTAAGTTGATCCAATTAATAATAATGAAATCATAAATGGAACTAATTGTGATACTCATAATGTAGCCATACTTTGAAGTTATGAAATATTTTAAATTTTTAAATTTTAGAAAAATTATTTATAAATTAATATATTATATTTTACAGCAATTCAATTTTATAATATTTTATCCAATAGTTACTTTATTTTATCTAATTGCTATTGGATAATAGTAATAATTATTAAAATAATTATTAAAAATTATTAAAAATTAGAAAACATATTTTTAAAAGAGATAATGCAATTCCGAATTAATATTACAAAACCTTCATATATAATCATGAATTAAAAACTTTTATTTCGTTGATTAATAAATAATAAAATAATTAATATCAATCTTTAACTTATTTTAATATTTATCCTAAAAAACATTATCATATCATGATTTCATTACAATTGTATTGAACAATTTTTTATTAAATTTTTTAATTTTTACCTGATGTTATATAATATCACACATAATGAGATTGTAGCTAAAAGCTTACAATAAAACATATGTATCTTCATTTTTTTTTTTCTAAACAAATATAAATATTATTTAATAAAATAAAAATTGTAATAATAAAAAAAGATAAAAATTGCACATACTTATTTGCTTTTTAGATTAATAAATTTAATTTTATATTCGAATATATTATTATGATCAAATAATTATGGTTTATCAATTTTTTTATCTCAATGTAAATATATCGCTTATCTTTACAGGGCGTATGGCATATACCAAACAGAGAAGTTGATAGACCGGGAAGTTTCGCTTTTCATATGTCTCGTTGCGTAACTTTATTAATGCAAGTACTTAAAGAAACGAATGATGGTCGAATGTTAATGCAATTAAGTGTGCAACTTGGAAAAATACCAGAATCAGACAAGTACAGTTTAAATAAAAAAATATTTTATTTTCTATATATTTTTATTTTTATTATTTCTTTTATTAAAATTTATATTAATATAATGATTTGATACTTCAAAAATATGAAAAATATTTATTTATAAAATTGTATGTTATTTTTTTAGAAAATATTTACGTGATTCAGAAAGAGAACAATTATCTTGTCAAGCATTGACTCTGTGTTTACAATCTCTTAGAACTAAGGTACAATTAATGGGAACAAGCACTTCTGATCTTGCAATTAATAAAAATGCAGATGCTAGAACTCAAGTACTTCTTGATACATATTGGGTATATCAGAGAGCTTTAAAAAGTTTTCAAACTAAAGAACAAACTATACAAGTACTTGCTTCTTTATTGGTAGATACGTATAAAACATATATCGGTAATAAAGTAAGTTAATTTTTTGAATAAAATATTTTGAAAATATCTCATAAATATTTATAATTACTTTATTTTTTAAATCTTTTTTGATAGAATTTGGAGGGAAATGTTTTAGAGATTGCTACAAAATATTGTAATGATTATAATTATAATCGAAAAGTTTTAAGCAAGTTTTTCTCCAGTCTTGATAAACCTACAGAGAATCAAACACAGCCTCAAGCTACATCTCCAATTCCTGTAAGATCTATAATCTTATTATTTAAAATCATTTGTACTATCTATGTTAATATAAATTTTATTTTCAATGTTTGTATAGGTAACTACATCCCAACCACAAGTTACTTCTACATCACCGCAATCTTCTCAAAGCCGAAAACCATACAAAAATCTAACATCTACTGGTCGACCAAGAGGACGTCCACCCAATGTGAATAAATATCTACAAGCAATGCAAAGTAGTAACGCAATGAATCAATTCAGCGCGAAAGCTACTTTCGCTAATTATATGGGAGCATCGGGAAATCGATCTTTAATGAATCCCTATTTTATGCATCCATTAGTTGATCCAAATATATTATCCGCTTTATTAACAAGTGGATTAAGCAATAGTATGATGGATCCTTTATCAGCTATGAATTATTTAAATCAAATGGGTAATTATCAAGATATTTTGAGACAATATCAAAATAATCTTTCTTCTTTATCAAGTTTAGCCAGTGGATTAAACAGTACCATTGCTACTGCATCCAACATTAGCAGTGTACCTACAATGAGTACATCTACTTCTAATATAAATGCTGCTTCCAATATAAGCAATTTGGGTAACTTAAATAATTTAACAGTACAACAGTTACTAAATTTAAGTAATGCTTCAGCAACAACTTCACGTTCCACACCTATGTATCAACAAGCAGTAACAACAAAAACTACCACCACTGCATCTTTAACTAAAGATAGACCTAGTATATCAATAACTCCAGTAAATACAGTATTACCCAAAAGTAAATCATCAAAACAAAGTCCACAAAGTGAATCTGTAGCAGTCCAACTTCCAAAATCTTTACAAATATCACAACCATCAAAAACTATCTTACAACCACCAACTACACAAGTTTCTTTGCTAAAACCATCTATTGTTCACACACAAGTTAAAACTAGTCCACCAAAACAAATAAGCGCACCTCAAATTCGAGTATCAAAGTCATTGACTGAGCCTCAGCCAGCACATAATCCGTCTTTATCGCATTCTCCTTTGAAAAATAGTGCGACAACAAATCCACCTGCAGTTCCTCAAGTTGCACATGCAACATTGAGTCCATCAATGACCATGAAACAAACATTACCTATAAACGTACCTACTTCTCATTCAGGAACATCATTACAACACAAATTATTGTCAAAGAAAAATTCACAAAGATCATATTCACAAACAAATGTGCAAAATTTAGTTAGAAAAGCAAAACCAGTTAAAACAATGTCTGCATTGCCGAATAATTTATCGAATATATTGAGTGCAATGCCTGGGAATTCGTCAATGGCACCGTATATACCACCAGAATTAAGTGGAATTTCCGTAAGTCCAGTAAATCCTCAAGCTGGTTTGAAAGGTCCAAGTACAAAATATTCACAATATAAAAAATCGTCCACAAAAACGAAACCAACAATGGATATTTCCAATTCTTTGCCAAATTCATATTCTCAAGGAAATTCTGTTGAAGCTTTCTCAATGCTTTCTCAATTAAAGCAGCATTCGCATTTAGAGATCATACCTCAGCAAAAGCCTCAACAAATAAAGTCAACTCTAGAATACACAAAAAACTTGTCTTCAGGTGTGAGTGTAGTTTCACAAAAAGTATCAGAATCTCTGAGGCCATCGGACTGTAGCAAAACTATGTATGATTTACCGAGAGGAAAATCGAGTAGTGTTTCTAGCAAAAAAGGAGAAAAAACTAATGATAGCGTTGAAATTATAACATTAGATGATTGAATGTTCATTACAAGAATATTAGTATTTCATCTCTTGTTTCTTAATCTCATTTTTTGACTTTTGTTTATTGATGTATTGTTCATGCTGAATGCAATTGTCATCCATAATTTGAAATGATTATAATGTGTAAATTATAAGATAAAATAGTCATACAAATAATATTTTTTAACATTTTTGCAGTCTATGTTTTAATCAAGAACAACTGAAATAGTTCGCTAGCCTTCTCACTTCTGTGCCTAATGGAGTTATTCTATATATGAACATTTAATTATTACACATGAAAATAGATAATAATAAACGTATTCTAAACTATAAAAATAATTATGATTATGATAATAATGAAATTCTTACGTAAAATATACATATATTCAAGAAATTATATTCCAGGAAAAAAGTAGTGAAAATTTAACTTTTCACAAGTTAGGATGACAAGCCTCAGGATGACAATGCTTGAATATCACTACTTTTTACGAAGTTCTAATAATCGTAACAGTAATGCAATCGCGAATATAATTTCACAATAATTCCAAGGAAACATTTTTGCATATTAATAAAACAATACAATTATTTTTCTACTGTGTACATTCAGCAACATATAATTTTTTTTGTATGTAAAAAAGAGAATAGGCAAATGTAATTAGATATTAGTAACATGTGTATATTTTCTAATGAATAATTTATAAAAATGTTTTTTCGTTAAAAAAAATGTATATATGTATATGTATATGTATATGTATATGTATATGTATATGTATATATATATATATAATGCTATTTACTTTTATTGAATAAGAAATTTAAATCAATTCTTTTTTTTAGTTTAAAATGTTTATTTCAAAAATTGCTACAGAGAATTTTTATATACAATCTATAAATTTTGTTATTTAGTAATTTAATATTAAAAAAATATGTTTTATATATATTTGTATATATTTTAAATATTTATATGTATATCTATTTTAATTTATTTTTGGTAGTTTAAATGAATTGGCAGGAAAACCACAAACACCTAAACCTTTAATGGCAAATAAATAACCAGCATGTAATTGCTCTTTTAATTGATTCTCATTTAATCCAATACGCGCTGATGTTACATACAAAATATCAAGATTAGGACCACCAAAAGCAACACTAGTTATGTTCTTAGCATTATTAATCTTAACAAAACGCAACAATTCACCTGTTTTCGGATTTATGTTGAGAATCTAAACATTAAAAATTTCCTTTTTTCAAAAAATAAATGTCAATTATTTCCTTACAATATATTTTATAATAATTATTAATTATAATAGAAATTGTATGTAATAATACTTACACCACCTCCACCATATACAGCAACCCAAAGATTTCCATTTGTATCTATAGTCATACCATCTGGTAATCCAGAAATATTATTTTTTAGGAAATCAAACACAATCTTCTTATTTGCTATAAAAAAAAAGAATTAAAAATGTAAATTTAACATAAAATATATTGATATATTATAAATTTCTTACATATGATTCCTGTTTGAGAATTGTAATTATATGCCACAATCTGATAGCTGAGTGAATCAATATAATAAAATATATCATTATTAGAATTCCAGGCTAATCCATTACTTATAGATACAGGAGATACTTGTTTTTTCAACATAAAATCATTACCAATTGAATAAAGAGATCCTACATTAGGTGGAAAAATTCCATTTTTTTCATGACCCATGGTTCCTAAAAAAAAAAAAAAGAACTTATATTGTAAAAATGTATACTTTGAATTAGATATACACACTCACAGAATTATATAAAATAATTCATATTTTTAACTAACCAGCCCATAATCTTCCAGAAGAATCTACTTTTCCATCATTCAATCTTGTCTCTATTCTATCACTATCTGCACTAACTAATATTTGAGCTGTACAATTTTCAAGGCTTTTCTCACTATTCCAAGAAAAAAGTACAAAATCTATACCACATCCAGCAACAAATTTATCAGTGCATCCTTCAAGAGGAACAACAAATCCAACTGGTCCATTTTCTAATTATAAATATATTTATAAAATATATTAAAATTAATAAATTTTTAGAATTAGAAAATATATTAAATAATAATAATATTAAATATATAAAATAAAATTAAAAAATATTTTTAATTATTTACCAATAAACACAGAGGTAACAATACCAGATGCAGGATCGAATCTGAATACTTTTTGGACATATATATCAACAAAATAAAGTTTTTGAGAAATAGAATCCCAATGAGGACCTTCACCAAGATCATATGGTCCAACAAGTGGTTCAAGAGTTATTTCTGACATTTTTCTAATTTAATAATTATAAATTGCATACATTTTTATCGATTTATAATCGTGATATATAATACATGTAACGACAAGTGTTTTTAGCACACGAAATGTAAATAAAAAAAGAAATGTGTATAAAAATTATTGTTGTAATATTGTTCATTTATTCAAGTATTCAAAATTTATTTATTCGCTTATATGATACTTACTTTATTATTATTTTCGTTATAAAATAATATGATTTTCACTCAATATCGAATTTAATAATTAAACTTAACAAGTTATCTAATTTAATAAGATTTAAAGTATAAATAATACTAATATAAATGACAGAATCTTTATATATCATAATTTAAATAGATAAGATTTTGTGCTTAATAATCGCTTTTAATAGTATATACTATATATATAATGATTTATTACGACATAGAATATGGTAAGGTTATCAAGTTTAAAAATAATTTTATTTTATCATAAAAAAAACTATAAATATATTGATAGAAAACAACAAAGATGAAATATTTTTACAATTTTTGCAATATAGCGATTAAAATGTATTATTAATAACTATTTTTTATATTAATTTAAAAATTTCAGTTTCTCAATAAAATAATATTTCAGAAAAACAAATATAAAGTTTTATTTATTTTTATTATTATCTCTTTTTTAATATCATCTGTGCATACTAAATATAAAGTGCATAAGAATATTTGTTTTTAAAAATTATTACTTAAATTTTAAATGAATTTGCTACAAGACCATGTACTCCTAAGCCTCTTATAGCAAAAACATAACCAGAATATGGTTTTTCTGTCAATTCCTTTTTAGTTAAATCTCGACTAGATGTTGTTACAAATAAAATATCTAGTAAAGGTCCCCCAAATGTGCAACTGGTTACTTTTGTAACAGGAAGCTCAATAAGACGTATTACTTTACCAGTATAAGGATTGACATTGATCACCTGTTTATTTAATATGTTAATATTTTATAAATATTACTAATGATATGTAAAAGAATTTTTTTTTAAATACTTACACCACCTCCACCATATAAAGCTATCCAAAGATTTCCATTTCTATCTATAGTCATACCATCAGGTATTCCAGAAATATTATTTTTTTGGAGGTCAAATACAATTCTTTTATTAGCTGAAATGAATTATATTTATTATAAATTTAAATTAATATGAATTTTATATTTTATATGTAATATATTTCAAATGATTTCTACATATAGTTCCATTAATAGGTTCAAAATCAAATGCTGCTATTTGAAGTGTAGGAGTATCAATATAATAAAATGTATCATCCTGAAGATTCCAAGCTAATCCATTACTATTAGTAACAGGAGATAATTCTTTTTTTGGTTTAAAATCTGAATCAATACGATATAAAGATGCTTGATTAGGAATAACAACATCATTTACTTCTGGTCCTATTGTTCCTATAAAGATATAATAGATATATATTATATGAATTAGTATTTTCATTTAATAGAAAGATTGAAAGAAAAAAAGACTGATCATTTCCAACTAACCACCCCAAAATCTTCCTAAAGAATCTGCTTTTCCATCATTCCATCTAGTTCCATTTCGATCATCATCAACAATAGTAAGTACTTTAGGAATAGATTTGGTAACATTTCTATGTTCATCCCATGTAACTAAAATGAAATCTCTACCACAACCAGCAACAAACTTATGAGGTTCTCCTTCAACAGGAATAGCAAATCCAATAGGTCCATTCTCTAATCATTTATAAATAATTATTCATTAATATTAATTTGTGAAAAAGTATATTGATGCCTTTTTTTATAGGAATAATATACTAATAATTTACCTATAAATATATAGGAAAGATCTTTTGTTATAGGATCAAATCTATATATTTTTTGTGCTTCTATATCAACAAAATAAAGTTTTTGAATATGAGAATCCCAATGAGGACCTTCACTATGCTCAAATCTGCCTATTATTGGTTCAATAACTAAATCAGAATTATGTTTGAGATTTATATCGATTTCTCTATAAATGATAAAAAATTATAAATATTTTCAATAATAAGAAAAAATAATTTTCATGAACTAACAAACTTTTTAATTATGATAAATATCTTTCGCAATTCAAAATTTTTATTTATATATATAGTTATTAAAACTTCGTATTTTGTACAAAATAAATATTATAGTATTTCTTTTTATACTAAAACACACATCATTGAGAAAATAGAAAATAAGTGAAAAATATTATTTATATTAATATTATATTGTTTATATTAATATTGGGTTGTTTATATTGTGTAAAAAAAACTTAATATATGGTGAATTATAGAAAATCCTTTCACTTACATGCCATGAACAAAAAAATTAAAATATAATCCGAGAAATAATATTATATAAATATTTTGCATTGTATATGAAATGATGCTATAATTATAAAATATATAATAAGCAAAAATTAATAATTTAAAAAATACTTTTCGAGAAAAATAACTACTTTGCTCTTTATATAGTATTTCTCCATTCACCGACCTCACTGATAATTGCAAAATATATACAACTGACAGCATATAATTAAAGATAATAACTTGACAAAATTGATGACAAAATTTATATTATAATTGATGTTGAGATATATAATACTTAATTATATAAGAAAACAAAATTTCCTGTAACTTTTTATTTTATTCGCGATTTAATATTTTTCATATAATATGAATTTATTAGCATTAATAATAAGAAGTTTTATTTTAAATGAAATTAATAAAGAATTGTTGTACAATTTAAAAATAATAGAAATCTATCTACATTATTTCGTTTAAATTAAAATTTTTATTTATATAAAAGTATATATTTCTACAGAAAGTGTAATTTTCTTAATAATTTATATTTTTACATTTTTCAAAATTATTGTTATATTCGAAAATATTTTTTAATATTATAAATATATAATATGCTTAACAAATTAGATAGAAGAAATTCATTAATTAACGTAGACTTAACACAATAATATATTTACGTATAATATAAATGAATTCTAGTTGGAAAATATCATAAATTTTTAATGTAAAATTTATGTTAATAAATAATAATATAGATAATATAAAATTATTTATATCAATTATCGTGATATGATAATGAAAGTTTTTAAAAAATAATTTTGAAATTTTTCTAAATTTATGATTACATTTTTTTTTAGTAATTTATAATAAAAATTTTCTATATATAATTATTGATATATATAATTCTATATATAATTATTGATATATAAATTATTGATATTTTAATGTTTTCATTACAGATTTTCATATATAAATTTTTATATATTATTTATTTATATTTTTATATATTTTTATATGTTATTAATATTCAAAAAAAAATTTTATTATATTTATTATAAAATTTATTTTTATATTTTACATAAATATTTATATTATTATATAATAAGAATTTTTTCATTTCATATATAATTTAATATTAAATTTGATTTTAAATAAAAAAAAAATTTTAAAAATATGCAATGCGCACGTGCAAATTTGACTATAGTGTCATCTAACATCATTTTTAAGAATCTCTCCCTCGTGCCGGCCAACATCATCAGGTCACGTGACAATAGCATATTGATACGTGTCGACAAAGGGAGCCACGACTCGTTACAGTTTGCCAATCGAGCATACGCAGCCAAGTTTTCTCGGATTCTTGTTTTAAACTAGTATCTTCGCAGCATTCTCAATTCTAAAGTGAGTAGGAAGTGTTCTAACATCGTGATCCTTAGAATAGTTATACCTCGGATTCAAAATGGGATGTAAGTATACTACTTCCAGTCAAAAATTCAAAAATATTTTATTTAAAACTACAATCATTGCAATTAACTAAGATCGTAACCTGACTTAATTTCTTTTCTTTTAAAACATATTGTTCATTTCATTGAATTTTAAATATTTTATTTTTCATTTGATAATTCTGTTAATATGAGATCTAATTTTTTTATATATATTTTGCAGTTAAATTTTTAGAGGTAATAAAGCCGTTTTGTAGTATACTACCAGAAATAGAGAAGCCGAAACGAAAAGTAAGTTTATATCAAACTATTTTTATTTCTGTTTTATATTTATAGTATCATATACTATTTTAGTATCATTTACTTTTTATAATTATTTTTTGTTTGTGATTTCTAAAAATAAATTCTTTATTATTTATTAGTCAAATTCAATTTCATTTAAATGTTTACTTAGAATATTTTTAGAATTTTTTTAATAATGATTTAAGAATTTAAATATTTTTATAGATACAATTTCGAGAAAAAGTATTATGGACTGCAATTACATTGTTTATTTTCTTAGTATGTTGTCAGGTAAGAATAATTTTATAATATTAAATTATTTTGCATTAATATTATACAAAGTTTGTTTGTATAATGAAACATATTTTATTTTTACAGATTCCTTTATTTGGAATTATGTCTTCAGATAGTGCAGATCCTTTTTATTGGATTCGAGTTATACTTGCATCAAATAGAGGAACTCTTATGGAATTAGGAATTTCTCCTATTGTTACATCTGGTTTAATTATGCAACTATTGAGTGGTACGAAAATAATTGAAGTTGGAGATACTCCAAAAGATAGAGCTCTTTTTAATGGTGCTCAAAAATGTAAGAAAAATATAATACATTTCTCAAAATTATTGATTTTTTTTATAGCTATAATATATAATTTATTTTTTGTTTTTCAGTATTTGGAATGGTTATTACTGTTGGTCAAGCCATTGTATATGTAATGACTGGAATGTATGGTGATCCAACAGAAATTGGAGCTGGTGTTTGTTTATTAATTATTATCCAATTATTTGTTGCTGGATTGATTGTATTATTATTAGATGAATTACTCCAAAAAGGATATGGATTGGGAAGTGGAATTTCACTTTTTATTGCTACAAATATTTGTGAAACAATTGTATGGAAAGCATTTTCTCCAACTACTGTTAATACAGGTATGATTTTATTTTCTATCAATATTTGTAAAAAATACTGTATACTGTAATTAAAATAGCATTTTCATTTAAATAGGGCGTGGTACGGAATTTGAAGGTGCTGTAATTGCACTATTTCACTTATTGGCTACAAGACAAGACAAAGTTCGAGCTCTTCGTGAGGCATTTTATAGACAAAATCTTCCTAATCTTATGAATTTACTTGCTACAATTCTAGTGTTTGCTATTGTAATTTATTTCCAGGTATATATAATGGAATTATTTTAATTTAAGATATATATATAACAATTTCAATGAAAGATAAAATTATATATATATATATATATATATATATTTCATTCATAGGGTTTCCATGTTGATTTACCAATCAAATCTGCTAGATACAGAGGACAATACAGCAGTTATCCTATCAAATTATTCTATACGAGCAATATTCCTATAATTCTTCAATCTGCTTTAATATCTAATTTATATGTTATTTCACAAATGTTGGCTGTCAAATTTCAAGGAAACATTATTGTGAATCTATTGGGAGTATGGTCTGACATTGGTGGCGGTGGTCCTGCACGATCTTATCCTGTTGGAGGATTGTGTTATTATTTATCGCCACCAGAATCTGTAGGACATATTCTTCAAGATCCCATTCATGCTATTCTTTATATTTTGTTTATGCTTGGATCTTGTGCTTTCTTTTCAAAAACATGGATTGAAATTTCTGGTAGCTCAGCAAAAGCTGTAAGTATTTGTTTTATTATTTACATTGCTTTTTAATGAATTTTGTATTTTAAGCAAAATTTATTGCAGGTTGCAAAACAATTAAAAGAACAACAAATGGTAATGAGAGGTCATAGAGATAATTCTATGATCCATGAATTGAATAGATATATTCCAACTGCAGCAGCATTTGGTGGATTGTGTATTGGTGCTTTATCTGTATTAGCTGATTTTCTTGGTGCAATTGGTTCAGGTACTGGTATTTTACTTGCAGTCACAATTATATACCAGTATTTTGAGATCTTCGTTAAAGAACAAAGTGAAATGGGTGGTATGAGTACACTACTTTTCTAAATTTAATTTACATAGACTTTACAAGTGAACTTTTTTAATTCTGAAGAACTGAATAATAATTTATTATAAAATATGTCCATTCGCGACGTCAAATACTATTAATTACTCAATAGAGTAATAGAAAGTCTTCAATATGAATCAAGCACATTTTTATTTCTTGTTTGTCGTTTAAAAAATTGCATATATAAATACATATACGTATTACATGATAATTTTTTTTTTTTCAAAATAGTTTTCTATGCATGATCATCTCATACTTAAGAAATATTTAATTAAATATTTTTTCATACTTACTACGTATCAATCTGTAGATTTTGCAATTTTTTATTTATGCATCGTGATAAAGAATATCTTTTTTTATATATGAAATATTAATAATGATTCTGCACTGTGTCAATAAATATTAAAAGGGATTTTGAATAATCCTTTGATATTGTCCAGAATTGAATATAATGTTGACAAAGCGTAGAAGTTCGCACTCGAACGTGTAATATGTAAAATGCTCGAATGTAAAAAGAGATATTCAATTTGAATGCTCTGAATTTATACACAAAATGTTATATACAACGAGCAGTGTACATAGGAAGAAAGTAATTAAATATTTTCAACATTTTTTTTTTTACTAGTGTTTTATACTCCGAGTAATACGGAGTCATATAAAAGACTCTCAAAACGCGCGATTAAGATCGTGACGTTTATGCGAATCGAATCATTGCATAATGTATAATCATTTCGTCAGGACGAGACACCCACCTAGGGTATTCGTACAATCAACTAATTCGTACAATGTTCGCTCATCATAAATATCATTCCTATATTAATAATAATAAAAGTAAAGTAATATTTGTTTCTTATGTATTTAAGTGAATATGCTTTTATAAAAAGTAAAGCTTGTTATTTGTCTTGTTTCCCTTCTTGCTCCAATTTATATTAATTTGTTTTTAGCGTTTGAAAGTAGCAAATTATATTTAAGAAAATGAAAATAATTCATTTGACATAAATAGATAAAAATGGTGGAAATTATTTATAAATTATGTGCATTGTATTTGTATATCGTATTATATTGTATATTACTTAGTTATATTCAAAAATTAGTACACTTAACTCCTATTTTATATAATATAAATGATATCTTTTATTTTATATGTAGAATTGTTATTAAAACATGACTGAAAATATATTTATTGTCCAGAATAGTAAATGAAAAACCCATGTTTAAGTATTAATCCAAAATCATTTTAAATAAAGAATTAATGCAATATTAATTGAAGATGTTCTATAGTAATTTAATAAAATAATCTAAAAATATTATAAAAATGTGTGGACATTTAAAAAATATATTAATATTTAAAAACTTTTTTAATACAATTTAACAATTAATTTGTTAAATTTTTGTCATTCTATCCACAAGATTATGTATATATTGTAAAAAGTACAATTATTTATTTTCATTATAAAAGAGGGCAGCATAAAGTGGACCCAATATATGGATATTGGCTAACAAAACTAAACGGAGTGTTTCTGTAAATCGTAAATTTGGAGTAGAAGTATCTGTATCTCTCCAAGCAATATTAGCTCCTTCGCTGCGCGTAAAAAGAGCTGGTGATGGAACATTTTCACGCATATAAGCCCATACACATTCTTTCATTATAGTATTTATCTATAATAATATATATTTTATTTTAACTTCAAAATAATATATATCAGATAATTATGTAATTACAAAAACCCACCTGATGCGGTTCTAAAATTGGTAAAATATCTCTTATACTTGCCAATGGAGGTGGTAATAATTGACCAAGTGCCATAACACTTACGAGTAAAGTACCTTCTTCGATATTCCAGTTGGCTATAACTGTGGCAGCAATACCTCTCAACAAAACTGAACAATAAGCTAAAGCTGGTCTGTACCAAGCTGTTAATTCTAACAATGTCCATAATAATGGTACATCTTTAAATGTTCGACGGATTTGTAAATCTCTTTCTATAGTAACCTAATATAATAATTAAAAAATTAAATATTAAAATTAATTTGTTAATTCTTAAGATTAAAATTATAATATTTTAAGATTCTAATAAAATACCTTTGTAAATTCTTCATCAGGCCATGGTAGTCCATTATACATAACATCAGGTGAAACTAATTCAACTAATAATAAACTGACCATTGTTAAAGCATCTAAGTTCACAGGATATCGTTCCGATTCACGATTGCTACAACAAGCCTATTAAATTTAGATATTGAATGAATCTTAATATTTTTATTCAATAATTATGTAATATTTTAGAAATTTTACCTTTATTACATCAATCAGCAATATTTTATTTAAAGCAATAATTTCTTTATCAATTGTATTTTCTGGTGGTGGTCTTCTAGGACCATGTCCAATGACGCCAGCGTGAAATACCGAAGAATGTTTTTGAGCTAACATCGTACTTGTAACCTAAATAAAATAAAATTTGTGTAATTTTTAATAACTATTAATAATTTTTAAAATTTTTAATTTTTTACCTGTTTATGATTTTGATGTAAAAGTAATATTTCCTCAAATTTTTGTTCAAATTTTTCTTTTGCTCCAAAATATTTTGCAGGATCATTATTGATACTATGTCCCAAAATTTCTCTTAAAGCTAAAACTCGGGCACAAGATGAATAAAAAGTTAAATCTTTTAATAAATGACAAATGATTTTCATACCCTGCTGTTTTTTTGTAATATCTAAAATAAAAAATTTTATCAAATCTTTATCTGAAAATTTTTTTGAAAAAATTTTTGAAAAAATAATTATTTTTTAATTACCATTTTCTGCTATACATAAAAAAAAATATTGAATTATAGCTCTTGTTAATTTTAAAGTAAGTTCTACATTTGGCATAAAATTATCTTTTTCAGACATACTAAATAAATCTAACATTTTAGCAATATCATTAGCTAAATTGAAATCCATTGTTTTAGTTAATAGAGTGGAAATTTGGTGTAAATTGGATTTTATAGCGTGAGTTATCATTTTTGATCGAAATACTACTACCTTATTAGATTTTTCCCATCTATAAAAGAAAAATCATATAAATATAAGAAATATAACTCTTTTTACTCTTAATTATATACTTACTTTAGCAATATTGTAAGATTTTGAAAGAGTTGTCTTGTTTCTTGTTTCTCTATAACATTTTTGTAATTTATTTCTCGAAGTGCTTGTTCTACAACTTGTGTAAAATAGCTATAACTAGCTAATACATTCTCTGTTTCAGATTTATTAGAGGAAAATAGTATGATATTATTAGAAACTAACCGTATCAAAGCCGCAAGATGAAAAGTAGTTATAGCTTTGATTAACATATATGATGCTGCAGATATTAAAATATTAGGACTTTGACTTCCAAGAAAACATAGCAATCGCACAGCAGTTTGAACACGTAATGAATTTTGATTTAGTAATAATGGTAATATTACTGGCAATTCTTGTTTCATAGAATTTAATAAGGAAATATTTGCACATTGTGGTCCATGTGTTCTCAAACGTAAATCAATTTCTTGTAATACTAATTCTAATATTTCAGAACATACGTTTTTTACACTTTGAGCAGCATTAATGCTATGATACCCAACATTGCTTGTATTTAAACTAGTATCTAGTAAAATATTTATTATCTGAGATGCTCCTTGTTCGCATCCTAATATCAAATGAACAGTTAAATCTATCAAAGCTTCTGGTTGATTATCAAAGTATTTACACCAATCTAATGCAAATAATGCTAATTGTGGAATTATATCTGGTTTTACTGTAACAAAATAGATAAATTAAATTTTATTTCTTTTATCATAAAATATATTTACTTACATGTTTGTAATATATCATTTGTTATTGCTTTTAAAAGAGTTTGTGAAAGAGATGCTAGATTTAGAAGAAATGGAACAGTAGCCAATTTTTGATTCTTTGTATCCTCATCAATATTTACATCTTCTTCTAAGCTCCACTAAAAATAATATTATTATTAATATTATTAAATATATTTTGAGAAAAAATTTTTCAGTTAATATTAGCACTTAACATAATTTTTACTTTGAATAAATCTAATAAAGCTCTTGTAATATCTTGAAAATGACTACCAGCCAAATGTCCCAAAATTCCAACTACTGAATTCAATTTAGGATTTTTAACATTATGTTCATGTCCTATTGCACAAAAATCTTTTAGGCCACATGATAATACTCTGGTAATAACTGTATTTGGAAAACAACTTCCAACATGAGCTACTACCCAATCAAAATGAGGGCTATGTAATACACTAGTATCTAATAGTGCTTTAATACAGGATTCTGTATCTGAATGCATAAGACATTGAAGACATTGTGCTGTGATATCAATCAGAGTACGTGTGGCACAACAAGACATCCATTGTTGAAGAAAATCATTAATTCCAGCATTCACAGGTAAATTTCCACGTTTTGCATAATCTGAAGAAAGTTTACCTATAAAAAATTTAATACTTATTATAACAATTTGATTTATAATACCTTAATAATCATATACCTAATAATTCTAATGACCATGCTGAAATAATTGGTGCCCAAGCTTCTGGATTTCCATTAATAAAGCTACTTAAAACATTGTGAATTTCTGCTATTATAGTTTCTTCACATATTGCTAAATTTTGATTTGTCTAAAAAAATAAAAAAATTTATATTAGAATTTTTAATTAAATCATATATTTTATGATATATTATTAAATACTTACTTACTTCGATTTGGCGAACATATTTGGTAACTGCAACAAAAAACACGTTGCAAAAATATTCAAGTACTGCATCTCTTGCAGCAGGTACATTTCGAAGTAAAGATAAAGCTGTTCGCGTTACATCAAGTGTGCTTGTGCTATGAGTTGGGCGAACTGCTCCAGAAATAAATTTTCTAACTTCTGCCAAAATATCTTGTGGTGATAATGTTCCAGTTGGATGTAACATTTTAATTTTGATCTGTTAATAAACGTAATTTAAAAAATATAGCATTTTCTTTTACTTTTCTTAAATTTTAGGTTAAATATAATCATAAAACTAATTCATTGCAGTTGCAACATTTCTTGTAATCATTATTATTATTATTATTATTATTATTATTATTATTATTATTATTATTATTATTATATATTAAAAAAATTAAGAAGTTAAAAGATATAAATGTGTGATAATATATAATAAACTTAAAATATAATATACGTTTTTTCATTCTTCAAATAATGTTTCTACTTGTTGCCTACAGATCGCGTATATTATGATACATAAAATGATCGATTTTTTATCGAAATTTTAAATTTAGATAAATAGAAAAATATTTCATAAAAAATATAAAAAGTCATATATCAGTTTATAATTGTTTATAATATATTTTAATATGAAAAAAAAAATGAAATATAATTAAATTGTTTATATTTATTTCTATTATAAATATATTTTTTTAATTATCTTTTGCATATTTTTTTCGGAAAAAAATATTAGATTTATTTATTTTATAATTTTTTTTCTTAATTTTTTTCAATAAAAATGGTTTTATGATAATAAATAAATATATACTAAAATAATATTTACTAGTATATCTACATGTATTAAAAA